TGAGACGGAGTTTCACTCTTGTTACCCAGGCTGGAGTGCAATGGCGCAATCTCGGCTCACCACAACCTCCGCCTCCTGGGTTCAGGCAATTCTCCTGCCTCAACCTCCGGAGTAGCTGGGATTACAGGCACGCGCCACCATGCCCAGCTAATGTTTTGTATTTTCAGTAGAGACGGGGTTTCACCATGTTGACCAGGATGGTCTCGATCTCCTGACCTCGTGATCCACCCGCCTCGGCCTCCCAAAGTGCTGGGATTACAGGCTTGAGCCACCACGCCCGGCTAACCCCTTCTTTATAAAAAGAAAAAAAAAAAGTACTGGGTGTGGTGGCTCACGTCTGCAATCCCAGCACTTTGGGAGGCCAAGACAGGCAGATCACAAGGTTAGGAGATCAAGACCATCCTAGCTAACACAGTGAAACTCGGTCTCTAATAAAAATACAAAAATTAGCCGGGAGTTGTGGCACATGCCTATAGTCCTAGCTGCCGGGGAGGCTGAGGCAGGAGAATTTCTTGAACCCGGGAGGCAGGGGTTGCAATGAGCTGAGATCACGTCACTGCACACTGCATTCCAGCCTGGGCAACAGAGCAAGACTCCATCTCCAAAAAAAAAAAAAGCACCAGTCAGGCTATTTTGAGGTTATACTGAGCTATGACTGTGTCACTACACTTCAGCTTGGATGGAAAAGAAAAGGAAAAAGGTTGAAATGGTCAATTGTTATGTATATTTATCACAGTAAAAAGAAAACTAAATAATGACTACAAGAGAGTTCCAAATACTAGTCTCTACCTTTGTTTACATATGAAAATGTTAAGATTAACTTTTAAATGTTAGGGAAGTGAAGGACTAGAAAATTCCAGCTCAATCTAGACCCACTGATATTCTTTCATTAACAAAATACTACTCAGCGACGGCCGGTAAGTACTTTGGGAGGCCTATTTTACAAAGGATTTAGCTCAAGTAGCAGCCTTTACATTTTTGCAGTCTCCGAAGAGTGCCAAGATGTAATCCTTTGGTTCTTTTCTGCCCTCGAGAGCCACACCTTTCTTCCATTCCGCAGTCCCAGAGGCTTAAGAGCTGATATATCACTGCTGCTAAGGCTTCTTTCCGAAGTCATCTACACTAAAGCTGCTGAGCTCTTCCTCCTAAGATGACGTTTCAGAGCCTGGCCATCCCAACTACCACCTCCTCCTTCACAGGCTGCAGTGTGCTGATGCCTTAAACTATGGTTCCCACAATGGTTCACAATATTCCACATTCATAAAGCAAAGGCCTATGCGGATCTCACAACAGGTCCTTGTATTAACACAAACCAAGGCAGGGGCACCAAACTGCATTACTCATGCTTTTCCAGCATGCACTTGAAGTATTTAAAATAGAAAGGAAGAAAAATCACAGCTTCAATTAGGAATATCCTTGGTAAAGCAGTAAAAATGAATCGTGACCCACTTCTGAATACCCTATGTTATGAAACACGGCACTTCTGCTGCATACAAAAGCATGATGGCTGCTCCAGGAGAGGCGGCTGAGCTACACAAGCCGAACTAGCTATTCTTTCCACAGAACACAATTTTTCACCTGAAGGAAGTGACAACAAACTATGGTTATTCAGGCATGGCTATCAGTTTTTAAAAAATGAAGTGAGTCTGCTGCTTGAAGTAAAACAACACTATTTCTTTTTTTGTTTGTTTTGAGATAGGGTCTTGCTCTGCTGCCCAGACTTGAGTGCAGTGGTGCAACCACAGCTCACTGCAGCCTCAGCCTCCAGGACTCAAGTGATCCTCCAGCCTCAGCCTCCCAAGTAGCTGGGACTACAGGTACACACCACCACATCCAGCTCATTTCATTTTTTTGAGAAGACCAGGTCTTGCCATATTGTCCAGGCTGATGTCTAACTCCTCGGCTAGAGTGATCCTCCTGCCATGGCCTCCCAAAGTGCTGGGATTACAGATGTGAACCACACCTGGCCAAAATAACAGTATTTTTGCCAACAGTAAAATCCGAGCTTTCAAGCAAAAAACAAGAGTTTCAGATAACTTGTGGCCATCAACATAAGCCTGACAGCCTTTCAATACTCAAGAGACTTTTGTAACATCTATGGGGACATTAATGAACAACTTTGACACTATGTAACAAAATGTGTCAACATTTGGAAGACCTGTATCTCTCTGCCTGGCTCAGTGAACAGGTATTTTCCAAATCACCAACACATTACAAATGTATGCCTTGATAAAGGATCTAATCAGAGTGCAGGATAAACTACTTTTTTTTTTTTTTTTTTGATATGGAGTCTCACCCATATCCAAGTGCCATATACCGTGGTGCAATCTGGGCTCACTGCAACCTCCGCCTTCCAGGTTCTAGTGATTCCACAGCTTCAGCCTCCCAAGTCGCTGGAACTACAGGTGCCACCACCACACCGGGCTAATTTTTGTGCTTGTAGTAGAGACAGAGTTTCACCCTGCTGGCCAGGTTGGTCTTCAACTCCTGACCTCAGGTAATCCACCTGCCTCGGTCTCCCAAAGTGCTGGGGTTACAGGCATGAGACACCACACCCGGCCAAATGATTAATTTTTAATGTATGGGCATGAAGAGTTTATTAATAAGGTTTCAGGTTCCATGTTGCAACAAACCTTCATAGAAACTACCGCCTGCTGAGTTTTGGTACAGAATCAAATACGAGTATCCAGAATTACCTGATTACTCCTCCCATTTCCAACTATTTATCTGTGAAAGTCTTGAACTTCTCCACACAAGTCAACCAAAGCAACACATCCCAAGAGTGAAGACAGATGCCGGTGTGAGGAACCAGTTGTCTTCTATTAAGCCAGACATTTAGAAGGCCCCAAAAATGTGAGTACACAGGAAAGATAGGGGAAGAGCGTGCAGAACAAAGATGATGCCCCGCCCCCACACCGCCCTGGACTGCAGTGCCATGCTGAACCAGAGGCTCCTCTTCCGTGCAGCAGCCACATGCTAGAGCACCTTCAGAAGGCTCTGATCAAGACGGAAAACCATGTAAATCAAGCCCACCACACCGGACATGGGGAAACTTCGAAGACAAGAACATTCAACTTAAACAAAAGAAGTCTTAGACATACACACAGCTGTCATTAGTTCTATCAAAATCATCCAATCACACTCATTTCGCGCTTCAGTATGCAGGTCTAATCAGCTGCACACATGGTACAAAAGCAACCAGGAGGCAAACACTCTCCTGCAGCTTCTAGGGGAAGCTGGCAGCTGGCAGCTACAGTGTGATCCTGGACAGACACTCGAAGAGTCTGCTTTGTATGTTCTAAGCTTCCGGAGAGACTCCTTGAAATTGTGATGTCTTCCCAGAACACTAAGCTTAATTTCTTTTTTTTTCTTTGTAGACAGTCTGGCTCTGTTGCCCAGGCTGGAGTGTAGTGGCGTGATCTCAGCTCACTGCAACCTCCGCCTCCCTGGTTCAAGCAATTCACCTGCCTCAGCCTCCCAAGTAGCTAGGATTACAGATATGTACCACCACACCCATTAATTTTTGTATTTTTAGTAGAGATGGGGTTTTGCCACACTGGCCGGGGTGGTGTCCAACTCCTGGCCACAAGTGATCCACCTGCTTTGGCCTCCCAAAGTGCTGGGATAACAGGCATGAGTCACTGTACCCAGTCACTAAGCTTAATTTCTAATAGCAATATAAATTGTAGGCTGGGAACTGTGGCTCACACCTGTAATCCCAGCACTTTGGGAGGCTGAGGCAGGAGGATCCCTTGAGCCCCAAGAGTTTGAGACCATGCTGGGCAACATAGGGGACACTCTATCTCTATAAAAAATACAAAAATCAGCCGGGTGTGGTGGTGCACCCTGTAGTCCCAGCTACCTGGGAGGCTGAGGTGGGAGGATGGCTTGAGCCAGGGAGGTTGACGCTGCAGTGAGCTACGATCCTGCCACTGCACTCCAGTCCGAGGGTGACAGAGGGAGAGCCTGTTCCATAAATGAATGTTTCTAACTCCTATGTGGAGAAAATGAGGCTCAAAGGGGTGAAGGAACTTACTCCAGATCACACAGCTACCACACGGCTGAACTGATAATCTCGTTTGCCTTCTTCCAAAGCCAGGGCTTCTGCATGAACCCTCATGCCAAGACCTCTTAGCAAATCCAAGTATTTCTGGTAACACTTTTCATAGCAGATAATGGTTTGGAAGTAAGCAATGGAACACTTGCGGTGAAGAAAGAATAACAAACCCAAACAACTTGACATCTGACAGTTAAACAGCATTTTAAAATAAGCTTTTCAATACTTTTACAGGCCCTAGTATCAGTGGAAATAGCTGTAGTTTTTACACACTGCTTTCCTTCCTATTATGTAGAGGTCTGAAAATCTGCTTAGCGACAGAAAGTAGAGTGGTGGTTGCCAGGGACTTGGAGGAAGGAAGCAAAAGGGAACTACTGTTCAATAGGGACAGAGTTTTAGTTTCACAAGATGAAGAGCTGAGTAGATGGACAGCGGTGATGACTGAACATTATAACATACTCAATACCACTGATATGTATACTGAAAATTGGGTAAAGTGGTACATTTTATGTTATGTGTATTTTACCACCATAAAAAATTTGGATAAAATATGCTGAGAAATTTAGACAGAGATGCCAGGCTTAAAGATTCAAAGGTTAAGAATTCTAAACGATCAGGCTAGGTATGGTAGTTCTTTTCTTTTTCTTCTTCTTCTTTTTTTTTTTAAGGTATGGTAGTTCATGCCTGTAATCCCAACACTTTGGGAGGCTGAGGCGGGAGGATCACTTGAGTCCAAGAGGTTCAAGACCAGCCTGGGCAACATAATGAAACCCATCTCCGTTTAAAAAAAGAATTCCAAACTCCTTAACTGAATCCTGATAAAGAAAATTTGGGGCCGGGCGCGGTGGCTCACGCCTGTAATCCCAGCACTTTGGGAGGCCGAGGCGGGTGGATAACGAGGTCAAGAGATCGAGACCATCCTGGTCAACATGGTGAAACCCGTCTCTACTAAAAGCACAAAAGAAAATTAGCTGGGCGTGGTGGCACGTGCCTGTAATCCCAGCTACTCAGGAGGCTGAGGCAGGAGAATTGCCTGAACCCAGGAGGCGGAGGTTGCGGTGAGCTGAGATCGCGCCATTGCACTCCAGCCTGGGTAACAAGAGTGAAACTCCGTCTCCAAAAAAAAAAAAAGAAAATTTGGGCTGGGCAGGGTGGCTTACACCTGTAATCCTAACTTTGGGAAGGTGAGGGGGGAGGATCATGAGGTCAGGAGATCGAGATCATCCTGGCAAACACAGTGAAACCCTGTCTTTACAAAAAATACAAAAATTAGCTGGGCATGGTGGTGCATGCCTGTAATCCCAGCTACTCAGGAGACTGAGGCAGGAGAATCGCTTGAACCTGGAACCCTGGGTTCAAAAAAAAACCATTCCATCTCAAAAAAAAAAAAAAAAAAAAGTAAATTTGGAGCTTTGCCAGTTTTTAGATGGCACCATTTCAGCCACCTCAATGCTTGCTACCTCCAATTTCTCATCTCAAGATCGGAGGTTTTCTGCTAAGCACTCACTGCCTTTGTTACAATTAGAAATCTAACAGTGTTATTCTGCAATTCACTGCCAATGTCAAATGAGAAACTGGAACCTCAGAAAGATCATTTAGCAAACTGCAAGACAAAGTCCATTCAAGATCTGATACAATCAACTCTTGATCATTTGGAATTTTGTTTTGATTTGCCTGCTGAACAATGAAGTCTCTGGTTCTATCCCTGGCTGCTGCCAGGAGAAAAAAGCAGTGGTTCAACGTTGTTTCCTGACAACTGAGCTACTTATTAAACACAACTACAAAGATGCATAATTACCAAAATGTGTTTTAAGATTATAACTGTTCATTTTAAGCCCACCATTTCTTTCGCCTGTGAGCCAGGTGATTTGGAGTTCAGATGTATTAGCCTGTCTGAGGCATTTTAGACAAGGGAGAAGGTGACTACTGTATACAAGAACCAAACAAAGCAGCGTCAAAAGCGCTTTCGATAGGCGGCAATCTTCTGTGATGCTTAGGCATTGTAAATGCTCAGGTAGACGTAATTAAAAGAGTTAAGGCCCACTCCTGGAATCCCAGCACTTTGGGAGGCTAGGTGGGTGGATCAACTGAGGTCAGGAGTTCCAGACCAGCTTGGTCAGCACTTCGAAACCCCATCTCTACTAAAAATACAAAAATTAGCCGGGCATGGTGGTGCACACCTGTAGTCCCAGCTACTGGGGAGACTGAGGCAGGAGAATCGCTTGAAACCGGAAGGCAAGGTTGCAGTGAGCTGAGATCACACCACTGCACTCCAGACAGGGCAACAAAGTAAGACTCTATCTCAAAAAAAAGAAAATAATAATAATAGTTGAAATTATAGTTTCAGAGTTTTTCTCCTTAACTATCCTACCTCACTGCTACATTTCAGAGATCCTAGTAACTGAGAACTACTAATTTGATAAAATTAAAGTAACACTGACTCTGGAATAATAAATGCTTCTACATAAACTACATCTCTCCATGCCTGGTCCTGTGAAATTTCTCCACTCACTCCAAACACATGTATAGAGAAAACACATTTGGCCAGACGCCTATAATCTCAGCACTTTGGGAGACCCAGGCAGGTGGATCACCTGAGGTCAGGAGTTCAAGACCAGCCTGGCTAATATGGTGAAACCCCCTATCTACTACACATACAAAAAAATAGCCAGGCATGGTGTCACACGCCTGTAATCCCAGTTACTTGGGAAACTGAGGCAGGAGAACTGCTTAAACCCGGAAGACAGAGGTTGCAGTGAGTCAAGATCATG